TTTGACAATAGCTACTGTCATTTTGTGAAATAATGATACCACATATAATAGTGTAGTGATGGACACAAAAATCGATAAACAATCAGTGTGTGTGTTTTATAATAAATGTTACAGAAAGTGGCAGGAAAGCGATAGCGATGACGGCGACAATTTATAAAATAACTTATTACCATAATACATCTATCTGTTTTATTTGTCATTTTCCTTCATGATTACATTTTTTTAGTTATTTCACATACAATTATAAAAGAAAAGTCTCAGATCGTTAAGTAATCGTTAAAACTAAATGATCGGTCAGAAATATTTAATTTCCTGATATCCTTAGTTTACGAGAGTAAAATTATAAACGTGATGAATCTTTCTAGTAATATTTCATTTCCATATCGAATAATTTCGCAACGTCACTATTTAGTACTTGTCATAACGTTGCAACACTGAAATTGTCAAATCTGGAATCGAATTAAAATTCCGAGTATAGGTACACGTCTTTGTGCTTATCGGCTACCTACCTAATGCATGAAATACACCGAAGAGGTGGAAGAAAATAAAGTCGATACATAAGAAAAATTATGTGTTGTTTCAGAGTTGACGACCAAGAAAGATCAATCAGTTTCAAACTGTAACTGTAACATTGCCACTATCAAAAACCTCAAAGGTTTTTTTTTTTTCTATGGCTATTATCCTCAAAGGTTGAACAGAAATTATAATCTGTGACACTCGGTGATTTGACAAGTTTGTTTGTTGAAGTTTGCTTTGCATTATCGTCGTAGGTTATTCTTGCGGTATTTTAGAGAGTTTTGGTATACATTTTCACCAAAATGGCAAACATTAATCTGCAATGTCTATTAGGAATACAGTGTAAGGATTTCGTTATGATAGCCGCTGACCAGAGCAATAGCCACAGTATTATGGTGATGAAAGACGGTGAGTTAGCGGTTTTTGACACCTGAATATTTCTCGTTTCATTAGTAACTTTGGATATTTATTGAGATTTTATGTTCTAGATGAGGATAAGATCCACAAAATTTCCGATAAGCTCATAATGGGTGTGATTGGTGATCAAGGCGACTCGACTCAGTTCGCTGAATATATCGCTAAGAACATTCAGTTGTACAAAATGCGCAACGGTTATGAGCTTGGACCCACTGCTGCCGCTAACTTCACACGGAGGAATCTCGCCGAATACCTGAGAAGCAGCGTAAGTTTATGTCTAACAACTTCCAACAACTTCCAGTTAGATTAGTTGATAAACCGTAACGCCGGCCCTATCGTCTCAAGTGAGACTACCCAGCAAGGTTACAATTCCTGTGACGGACATAGAACGATTGGGGTGTTTTCGATCTTCGGTCTGTGGGTATCCTTAGGAGTGGGTTGAAGAAATAGCAAGGAATCTTAAGTTGTGCCTAATAGAGGTATGGCAATAATTACTCACCCCCATATTACTTGGGGTTATGAACTGGTCAAAAGTCGGTGTGTGCATTTCTGCCTGTCCTGCCTGAATAATTTTATAAATAACCTGAAAGTTTAAGTAACGATAAGAAGGCACAATGTAGTAACTACCAATAATTAATAAATTTTTAATCCGTTGTTTCAGACCCCTTACTTCGTGAATGTATTGATGGGTGGGTATGATAAAGAAAATGGTCCAGAACTCTACTTCATGGACTATTTGGCATCCAGTGTAAAAGTTCCCTTTGCCTGCCATGGATATGGTGGTTACCTCAGTTTGAGTATTATGGACCGCTACTACAAAGAAGGTGAATAGCAATATTCCATGCATTTTTTATTTATAATTAATTCATAGATACTACCATTCAAAAGTAAATTGATGTGTAATGGTCATTTGCCACTGGTAAAGTACCATCTATTTCATGATCAGCATGATATCAGCTATAAAACTTTCTCTGCTGAACATAGCATTCCCTAATGACTCCCTAGGACATGCTTCATCTGTCTCCCTTGTGGGCACTCGTCTATTATTTATTTACTCATTTTGGCGATTAAGAAGCTAGCTTTACTTTAACCACCACTTGTTTTCAGATGCTACTGAGGAGGAAGCATATGAAATATTGAAGAAGTGTGTAAAGGAAGTCCATAGAAGATTGTTTGTCAGCCTGCCCAACTTCCAAGTGACCATTGTCAATAGGGATGGCATCAAAGTGTTGCCCGTTATCAACTCTGAGTTACTCAAGTGATTTGCTATAATAAAGTAATTTTTTCTTCATGATTGTTTCCTTTTTTTAATAATTCTGTTATTTTATTTTGGTACTGCATACTTATTAATTACATTGCACATTTATAATAATATTTAGTAATATGTCAACCCTAGTTGTCACAAAAAATCAGTTCAATGATTTATGGCCAATTAATCATTTATACTTAGAAAATTGGTTCAAATGTCGGAATATACGAATTTGATAATGTTTCTACATGTTTTGAACATTATTTTTATAACAACGAAACTCTTATTAGAATAAAAAAAGAACATATTTATTAGAATAACAGTAGAGTTCACAGACATAAGATAATCATTCAAAATTTATAGAAGAGACTTCCATGCACATTTGGAGAAAAATAATAAAAAACCAAGTGTTATTGTCTTAAATTGTATTTTATTTAAATACTAATATATCCTTAATCTTAAATTTTGTAAGCTCTTGTATAAATTATCCACCAGATTTGCCTCTGTCTGGGCTGGATGCCATACTAGCTTCAGGGTTGTCCATCTGTGAACTGTTTGGGTTGTCTCCATCAACCATGTTGTCACCTTCATTGTCCGATTGCTCTGTAATAAGAATTAACAAAAATTACTTACCTAATAGCTACATTAAACTTGTCAATAATAAATCTTTGAATCAGAAGTAAAAAAGTGAATAACTTGATTGATGGAAGAGCAACAGACTCTCTGGGTTTGACTTAGGAGAAAATTCCTATAATTCATGTTGTAGGGTTTTTTTACATTGAATGAGACTTATGTGTAGTAATTCTGTTCTCGATGTTACACTGAATCGTAAATTAATGTTATAAATTACAATATTAATTATAGAACTAGATTTAAAATATTTACCTTTTTTATCAGCTGGCATATCTTCAGTTCTATTAGCAACTTGGAAGTGATATTCTAATTCATCAAAGTCAAATACTTGGTCTGTTGGTAACAGACATGGTAAATACGCAGGGAATGTTGGCTTGCATGCTATTACTGTAAACAAGAAATATAATAGTTGTTAATTAACGATCAAATTAAAAATGTAAAATGGAACAGAGATGCATTTCTGTTCTATTTACAAATAAATAACCATGTTCTGGTAATTTAGCCTTTAAGTTACCCATTATACCAAATTATACTAGAGAAAATATAAAGCTTTTGTTTTGGCATCAATGACTTTTGTTATCATGTCAGATTGTTATCTTATTTTATACATATTAAATTAGCCAGTACAAACAAACAGATAGACAAATATGGTAAAAAATGTGATATTGGTATGTGTATAATTTGTATATTCATATTTTATTTATTTTCAGCCATGGTGGTCCCACTGCAGGGCATAGGCCTCCCTACCCTCCTTCCACACCTCTGTATGCAAGCCTTTTTGCGGCCAGTCCTTGTCATTGATGTATAATTCGTAATATTCATATGCATGTAGTAAAAACCGGTCATTTTAATATATCGATCAGACAATCACATTTTGTATATATAGGAGTTAAAAGTTCTTACATGGGAACACCTGATTATCCTCTGTGTTGAATAAGTTATGTGTTTCACTTGTCTTAGCTAGAAATTTCGTCAATGCCCTCTCGATGTCCCTCTTCTGTGAGGCAGCCTTCTCTCTTATAGCTTCATATTCTGTTACTGGCTGTTTGTGAGTCTGAAATAAATTAGAAGATGGTTAAAAAAGGTCTCTGGAATCATCTTACCAATTTTATTTTTCATACAAACTTTCAACTAAGCTCTGAATTGTACTAATGTTAACCTTTGGTTTGTCATAAATAGATCTAAGAGAGTGTGATACAAAATTTTATTGTATCAGTATACTGTGTATGTTGTATCGGTATGTACCTACTTGGTAATTAAGAACTACAAGCTGACAATACATGCTGATGTGCTAGATGTGATAATAATAAAAAACCAGTGTAAATGCTTACAGGTGTCCTAATATAAGCATGTGGATCAGGTAATGGTGGAAGGTGGAATGGTATGTGAGGAGCAGGCTTAGCCTTGGATCCTGCTGATAACATTGCTGGTGTTCTTGGGGCTGGGGCCTGCTGTGGTGGCTGGATCACATGTCTGTTTGGCCGAGCTGCATACTGTTCTAATCCTTGTATGCTGATACCTTTAATAAAATTCATTATCGTTAGTCAGATTATGTTCACTACTGGACAAAGGCCTATCTAGGCCAAACAACATCCCACTACTTTGAAAGTGTTAAAAAACCTACCCATATTTACTAAGGCCATGATTACATCACTCAGCATTGGCTCTACTCTGCCTGATAGCTCACAGTAGTTTTTGGCTGAGTTTCCAACTTCGGACAAAACTGAAAAGTAAAAAAAACAAGTTACTAAAAAGCTTTTGCAAACAACTTTACCCACATAATCTGGGTTAGAAGCACCCGAAGAGTTATCTCTTCTCGACTCTTCAGGTGCTTTATAAAATTTCATCCAGATCTGTCCAGTGGTTTTATGTGAAAGACTAGCAAAGAATCATACTACCTATTGGACATACATCCTCACAAATATTAGTGGGATAATTATGTATCTATGGCATTATTTATCATTTTTTTTTTTTTTTTTAAATGATTCATGATTAGAAACAGTATAATTCTTGTTTTACAGTTATAGTAAAGAGCCTGAAACTGACCACTGTTTGGCTATGGACTTTATTCTAATAAGAGTAACATTGTTAACATATGTAACAAGTAAAATGTTGATGTTACTATTTCTCAACTAATTCTCCGGGACTAGGCTTCAATAAGGAAATTACTAAGTAGGTAATTCATACTACTTATATGTTACTTACAACATTGAAGCATTTCTGTGAGTGTTTCTAGTGCCATTTTGTCAGTGGATTCAAATCCATTTTCCAGTAAAACTGTGGATACTGCTATAGTAAGTACTCGTCTTCGTGCATCTGAACCATTTTCCACCTTTTCCGTGCTTTCTGCCATAATTTTTAATTATATTTGTTCTGAAAAATACAATCAAATCAACAAAAATACGAACGCTATTTTTCTTGCTTCATTTGACAATGACACTGACAGCTGTTAAGTATGACATATCTTTTTTAATTCCAGAAAGGACTGTTTGGAACTGTTACTTTTGGAACAGACGGAATTATCGTTAAGCAAATAGCCCTGCACAGTACTAACCATCTAAACAATCTTAGTCCAAAATCATTGGATAAGGATAAGGATTTATTGGTTATGGATCGATTTTTAACTTTAATTGTGTGGTCGTTTCTGTCAACAGATTTTGAAGTGAGATACAACATTTCATCCGATTTAACATGTTTAAAATTATAAAAATTTTAAGTTGGAACGCGTGCAACTGGTTTCCATTATGTCATTATGACAGTGACAGTCCAAGTCCAGTCAGACACGACAATTTTTAGACGTAAGTGCGTAAGCACAAAGAATTGATTTCGTCAGAATATAATAGATATTTCTTTAATTTTTCGATCTTAGTTAATTAGAATGTATCAATTTTGAAAAAAACATCTTTTTCGGTTTTGTGGGCAAGTGTAGATAAGTAGTTGGCAAGTTAACTTATGTGTCACTTACCAAAGACAGCAACAAGAGAAGCAAATTGGGTAAGTGCCTTGCCTAATCGTAATTGCATTTAAACAAATCTAAGTTCCCTTGGTTAATAGAGCATGGTATCGACTCATATAGACAATAGGAGTACAGGAGATATAAAGTGCATCGATATTAACCAGTTTATGTAATAATTGTGATACAAATTGAGCTATTAACTTTCAATTTTAGTCATTAGAAAGTACTACCATTATTTAATTTTACTTTAATTGTGCCATTCTGATAATATTTTTACTTATCAAACCATTATTTTATTATTATATTCCTAAACTTACTTTCAGTTAACTTGGACTACTTGAAGCTGAATAGTGTGCTCTCAAAATGGTAAAAATCTATGCTTTGGGTGTCCTTTACAAAGGCATTAATAGTGCTACTCTACTGAAAGCAGCATACAATCTACAGAGCTTCAGTATATTCCAACGTGGTTCAGTACAAGAGTTCATGGTGTTTGTTAGCAAAACAATAGTGGAAAGAACTCAGCAAGCCTCACGACAGTCAGTAAAAGAAGGAGAGTATATGTTGCAAGTGTATGTGAGGGCAGACAACTTGGCGGGAGTACTGATATCTGACCATGAGTACCCAAACAGGGTGGCCCACACATTGATTACCAAAATACTGGACGAATTCACAGCTGCGGTCCCAGCTACCCAGTGGCCCACAGGCACTGAGGACAGGATAGACTTCCACATCCTACCTGAATACTTAACTAAATACCAGAACCCCAGAGAAGCTGATGCTTTGACGAAAATACAAAATGATTTGGATGAAACCAAGATCATTCTACATGACACTATAAAGGCAGTGTTGGAACGAGGTGAGAAACTAGACGATGTTGTTGCTAAGACTGAGAGTCTATCAATGCAGAGTAAATTGTTTTACAAGACTGCCCGAAAGACTAACAGCTGCTGTAATTTCTAAGGCATTCTGATGTTATACCTGACTTGGCCATAGTTCAATTAATTAATATGTTTTTGCTTTTTAGTGGAGTTCGAAGGCTTGATTAAATAATATTGTGGCCATTACTATACCCACTGTAAGGAAATATTAGATAAAGTTTTAGATTTATACTTGAATGACATTCTTTGTTTGTCAAATTGTATTCAATTATGTAGGTATTGCTTATTATGTTTTTGGGGTTACTCTGTTTTATTGTATAAAATAATGTTGTTTGTTTTGAAAACTTAAGAGTATTTAGATTGGATTGTTGCTATGATGCCAAACCAGTATGATCATCACAATGTAATTGATATAATACTGCCATAAGCATCTATAATTGCTTTCACTGTGGCCTAAGTGTTGAAATTACAATAATTAAAGAACATCAGCAGTGGCGTGGCTGCACACATCCAAATATGTTAATTGAACTATAATAATCATGTAACTTCTGTATTGTGTAATGTAACAGAACAAATAGTAAGTATTACTATTACATATTCCAAACAGTTTGTACTCTGTGCTTGTGTAGAAGAAGAGGTTTTATTGTTGTGTTAGTCATGTATTGACTCTATTGACAGTATTATTTACAAACAAATGTAATTTAGTATTGTGGAATGGTATTAGTGAATGATTCAAACGAAGGCTTGTAAGTGTATATTGTTAAATATATTGTTTTAGGCTCAAAAGTAAAATTAATATTGTAATGTATACTGTAATAGAGTCGCTACATCAAGTAGTATCTTTACTGGTTGTAATGGATGTGTGTAAGCAATATTACTATAAATAAATATTAATATGAATGTTGATATGTCCTGTAGTAGTTATTGTTAAAAAGCTAGAATAGTCTACTGAGTGTCATGAGTTATGAAATGGAAAAAGAGGAATTTGTATGTATTAAAAGTATTCTATAAATGTGTCTAAATATGATAGAAGTTATAAAATAAAATACTTATTTACTCAGCGCACAGTTTATCAGAATGTAACTATTTTTATAGTGGTTATGATTTAATAATTTAATTTTCGATAGCCTTGGTCCCCACCTAATTGACATGCTAATTCTGAAATATTAAAATGTTGTATACTGGAGTAAGTTTCATGGTGTTTCTTATTACCTTATGTGGTACTGCTGTTAGTATTATTTCAGTGGTGTATAACTGTTTATCTATATTAGAGACACGAAACTGCTGTTTGGTTCCTAACAACTTAAAAGCTCATGGAGTAATTACTGTTTAGTCCCTATTTTGCCTATTTTATCTCTGGGCCAAATAGTAAAAGTACTTTTGACGTTCTTTGTGTGTACGGTAATGATTGTGGCTTATAATATGGCTGCAACAAAATTACTGACTAAAAGTGACTTGTTTTCTTATAGGAACATCAAATATTTAGGTACAATGAAATAGGTAGGATGAGTGGTAGTTTATTGTTATCTCTACCTATACCTCCAAGTAAAATTGAATCTAATTAAATATTATTTCCAAAACGATGCAAAAACTAGCATCATGTTTATTACAAACAGGTTTTCATTGAAATAGCTAGATTTTGTTTATAAATGCGACGTGGGAAGAGTTGCGACGCAATAATAATAAGACGCGTGACGTCGGCGTCGATTTTATTTATGTAAGAAACACGTGTTGATCGCATGAAATTAAATTGGTTGATTATAGTTTTTATTACTTTAAAGTCCTTTACTTTCTGCATTATTTACCGTATATTTTTTTTATAATTCTAGTCAATTTTTGATGGTTTTTTAGTCACAAACATACCTGGTAAATGCTATTAAATGATGCCTGCCAGGACATCTTATCTTTATCGCTATTGGTTAAATAAAAAATAAACAGTTCGTATTATATGACGTAATTACTCCATGAGCTCCCATAATGTAGCTTGCGTTAATTGGCATTGTTACTTCAGTTATACCATACTCGGTAATTGAGTGGACCTACTATTTGTTTTCACGTGGTTTTTATTACACTTCACTGCGTGAATGACAATCAATTTATTGCAGACTCTAGAGGTGACGGGGGCACTGACTGGGGTCACTTTATCTGACCTAGATCCTTTGCATATTGACCTGATTTACTTCGTTACTGCATTTGATTGACCTCGGTGTATAAAAGATAATTGTTTCAGCAATACATTCCTACTTATTGGTAGAATAGATCTGGAAATTGGAACAATGTCGGGCCCTTGTATGTGCTATGATGGTTTTAAGAGTTGTAAATACAATTTTCGAGAAAAAGAAACTTGATATGAAATGATATCTCAATGACGAATCTTGATAGCGGTCGGTACATATTTGTTAGTGTATCCTCAATGTGTATGTCTACGTCAACGAAGGTTTCAGTAATTATTTGATTAAGACGACGACTTTATGTCGTAGTAGTAAGAGTGATAATCGTAGTAAGTGTTGCTGATAAATTTTGTTGATGTACATATGTATTTCTGTCAATATTCCCATTGATAAACTTTGCAGAATGTTTCTATTCCAATTCAATTACCTACACTACAAACTCTGAAGACATTATGTACTTAGAATTAAATTAAATTTCAATATGTACTGACCGTGCGTACCTAAGATTATCAAACTTAAAGATATCGTTCGTGAATTTGGATGTTAAGTATTTGAAAAGTTTAAATGTATGTGTAATATCAACTTTGTGTAACATGTTAATGAAAGTAACGACGGACGTTATTTATTGTATACTTGCTTCATGACGTGTGTTTACAAATAAATCGATATTTACAACGGATTCAGGATTTTCTTTACCTAGTGTTTTTTAAAGGTGGATAAGTCGATACCTACTTACTTCATAGAACTACATTTGTTTTTTTTTCTGTTCGTTGCGCTATGTGCTAGTCAGTTAAACGAAAAATAACACCTTTAGGCAGGCTGTCCAAACTATATAATTATACCCTACCCTCGCGGGCTGCTGGAGGGCCAGAAAAATATTTTCAGTTGGCATAATTTTAACATTGTATTCTTTGCTCACAGACAAAACTTGTATACAAACCATGCAGTGAATTTTATTATTGTTGTTGCACATAGATGAAGATGTTGAGATTAAAATGTGTGTCGCGGGCCACATGAAAACAAGCCGCGGCCCGCGGGCCTTTGTTTGGACAGCCCTGCGTGTAGGTATATCTATGATAAATTACTCAACTAAAAAATAAAAACTCATACACTTTTAATACACAGTCCTATAGCCGCAGGTTCCAAAAAAATTTAGGCATACTTGTTCCGAAGTATGTACTTAGTATTTTCGAAGTCTTCATATCATAACAGAAGTATAATAAAAAGTGGGTAGGAAACTAGGAAGGCTCCTTTTTTTTTAAGGGGGGAAAATCATCGTATGACTGCTCCCGCCTGGGTGAGGCGGGAGGGAGTGTCAGACTCTTACTGATTAAAAACCACCCCGTTCCTTCTCCTGCACGTCGAGCCGGAGCCCCGGCTACCCGATAGGTTCTCCGCGACTCCGAAACTAGGAAGGCTTTT